GTTGGACCCAGACGCCCCTGGATCACAGCACCCCGCCTCTGTGGCCCTGGACAGGGCCCTGGTCCTAAAATTGCTCAAGGTGAGGCTGAGTGGATCAACCACAGCAACTGTCACCTCACAGCGGAGATAGGGAAACTGAGTCCCAGAGAGTCGAGAGAGTGCTTAGCTGAGACCTGGGTAATACTGGAAGCTGCGCTTCTTTCCACCAAGAGCTCTTCGCCTTCTTTATTTTTATTTTATTTTGAGACGGAGTCTCACTCTGTCCCCCAGGCTGGAGTGCAGTGGTGCAATCTCAGCTCACTGCAACCTCCACCTCCCAGCTTTAAGCAATTCTTGTGCCTCAGCTTCCCAACTGGCTAGGATTACAGGCATGCACCACCTTCACACCGGGTGTGGTGACACCCGGCTAGTTTTTGTATTTTTAGTACAGAGGAGGTTTCGTTGGCCAGGCTGGTCTCAAGCTCTTGACCTCAAGTAATCCACCCTCCTCGGCCTCCCAAAGTGTTAGGATTACTGGCATGAGCACCACACCCAGCCCAAGAGCTCTCTGCCTTCTGAGAGCAGCATCCTATGGAGGCAGAAACAGACATCTGCCCTCCCCAAGCCTGACTTCTCACAGGCTTCCCGCAACAATCACACTTCAGGCTCCACAGGCTTTTCCTTCCTTTCCTTCTTGTCCTGTCCCCTCCCTTCCCACAGTGACGGGACAGCAGCCTTTACCTGGGCTGTCCAAGCCCCTGGTTGCTCCCCAGAGGCAGTGGTCTGGCTGCATGTTGGTATCCACGGCACATGATAAGGGCTACGTGATTTGGGTGACCCTGGAGGGTGAGGAAAGGGAAGGTGTCCAGGTGAGGGCCAGGCATCTGGAGAGAGGAAGGGAGGGGGCCAGCAGGAGGTGGTGCTGCCTGAGGGGCAGGACTGGGGCCTGAAAAAGCACAGATACCTGCGAACAGCCAGTGCTGCTGCTCTCCAGGCCATCATCCTGTGCAGTGCCTGAGGGGCGCCCTGAAGTTCTGGAAGGCGGAAGGTGAGCTCCCTGCAAGGAGGGTCTTCCTGCAGTGGGATGGAGCCCTCACCCAGAGCCCGAAGGCAGCACAGCACCCCTCGCAGACCACTGTCTGCACAGTTCACCCTCCTCAGCCTCCTTTTTTCCCACCAAGTTGAACCCTTTGATCTCCATCTGACTCACCAGGGCTCCTTCCTCTGTCCCACCCCACACCAGCCCTGCCTCAAGCTGGAGGGGGCATGCTGGGGGAGCTAGGGAGTTGGTTTGGGTCCTGCTTCTGAGAGGTAAGAGCCCCAAAGGATCCCTCCCTGCCCAGCCTCTCCACATGAAGACTCCCCTGCCATGAGTCCCCAACTCTTTCCTCCTTCCCCTCACAAGCCCCTGGAAGGCTGTGCACCATCCAGTGGACCTTTCAGCTGTGCCTTGAAGCCTGTTTCATCCCCAAATTGTTAGAGCTGATACAGGGTCTGACTAGCTGGATCCCACTCTCCTGCCCCTCCATTGCGCGCGCACACACACACACGCTCCAGCTCTGTCCTCAGGGTCTCAGTGCCCTCTGGACACTATCCCACCACAGCCCCTCTTAGTCTGCCAGTAGCTACCATACCCCTCCCTCCTTCCCCCCCAGGCCTGTTCCCTCAAAAACAATCAAAGAATTAAAGGCAAGCACCAGAATGGTCAAGCTGTTAGAAGAAGCAGAGGGCTGCATCTCCAGGACCTCATGGAGGCAACGGCTTCTTAGCCTTGACACCGAAGTACGAGCAGCAAAAGGAAGAATAAATAAATTGGATTTCAGCAAATGTAAAACATTTGTGCCCCAAAGGACACTATCAAGAAAGTAGGCTGGGTGCCAGAGCTCATGCCTGTAATCCCGGCACCTGGGGAGGCCAAGGCAGTTCCATCACTTAAGGCCAGGAGTCCAAGATCAGCCTGGCCGACATGGAAAAACCCTCCCTCTACAAATTATATATATATAATATATATATATATATATATATAATATATATATATATACACACACACACACACACATACATATATATATACATAAAGTAGACAGGTGTGGTGGTGCATGCCTGTAGTCCCACCTACTCAGGAGGCTGGGGTGGAAGGATCATTTGAGCCTGGGAGGTAGAGTTTGCAGTAAGCCAAGATTGCACCACTGCACTCCAGCCTGGGCAAAAGAGTGAGACCCTGTCTCAAAAATAAAAGTAAAAAGACAACCAACAGGCTGGGAGAGAATATTTTCAAATCATATTTTTTATTGCGTTTTAGGTTTTGGGGTACATGTGAAGAACATGCAAGATTGTTGCATAGGTATACACATGGCAGTGTGATTTGCTGCCTTCCTCCCCTTCACCTACATGTGGCATTTCCCCCCATGCTATCTCTCCCCAACTCCACACCCCCCACTGTCCCTCCCCTATTCCCCCCAACAGACCCCAGTGTGTGATGCTCCCCTCCCTGTGTCCATGTGTTCTCATTGTTCAACACCCACCTATGAGTGAGAACATGTGGTGTTTGATTTTCTGTTCTTGTGTCAGTCAATTCATATTTCTAAGAAGGGATTTGTATCCAGAATACATAAAGAACTTGGGTAACTTAATAAAAAGACAACCCAATTTAAAAATGGGCAAAGGATCTGAACAGACATTCTTTCACATAAAACATACAGATGACCAACAAGCACACGAAGACACGCTAGACATTATTAGTCACCAGGCAAATGCAAATCAGTATCACAAGGAGATGTCATTTCACTTGTATCGATTGAATGGCTAGAATCAGAAAGCCAGCGGGGAAAGAGGCAGGTAAGTGTGGGTGAAGACATGGAGAAACAGGAACTCATATGCGACTGTGGGAGGGTAAGATGCTATCGGTGCTTTGGAAAACAGTCCGGCGGTTCTTCACGGGTGAAACACGGAGCCACTGTGGCCCCAGCAATTCCCTCTCTAGGTACATACCCAAAAGGAGTGAAAACATACGTCCACACAAAATGTAGATGTAAATGTTCACATCAGCATTATTCATAATAGCAGGAAGGGAGAGACAACCCACACGCCATCCGATGGTGAATGGACACACAAAGCGGGGTCCATCCTACAGTGGAGATGTATTCAGCCATCAAAGCAACGAGGTCCTAACACAGCATGAATGAACCTTGAAAACCTTATGCTCAGTGAGGAAAGCTACACACAAAAGATCCTTCATGATTTCCACTCATATGAAACGTCCGCAACAGAGGCATCTATACACACAGAAAGCCGATTATTGGTTACCAGGAGCTCAGGCAAGGGGAAATTCGAAGTCGTGAATGTGGGTTTCTTTTTGGGGTAAAAAAAATGTTCTAAAATTAATTTTAGTGGTGGTTATACTTGTCTAAGAATATACTACCACCAGCCTGCATATTTTAAAAGGGTGAGTTGAAGGGTGAGGAATTGTTTTTAAAATGATTTTTTTTTTTTAGACGGAGTCTGTCACCCAGGAGTGCAATGGCGCGATCTCAGCTCACTGCAACCCCCTGGGTTCAAGCGATTCTCCTGCCTCAGCCTCCTGAGTAGCTGGAATTACAGGTGTGCCACCATGCCCAGCTAATTTTTGTAGTTTTAGTAGAGACGAGGTTTCACCATGTTGGCCAGGATGGTCTCAAACTCCTGACCTCGTGATCCACGTGCCTCAGCCTCCTGAGTAGCTGGGATTAAGGCATTAACCACTGTGCCCAGCCAACAATTTTGTTAAGGAAAAAAAAAGGCAAATTATTGACCTCAGCTTTCACCATAACAAACTAGAAACATAAGACCAAATGAAACCCAGGATGAAAGAAGGAAAGAAATACAAATCAGAGTTGGACTCAATGAAACAGAGAACAGAAAATAATAGAGCACATCAATGAAATAGAACATCGGTTCTTTGAGGAAAATGATAAAATTTATAAATTCTAGTTTGATTCATCAGGAACTAGATTAACCAAAGAGCAAGCACAAATGACCATGATCACAAACGGAATAGCAACTGTATTACAGATTCCACGGGTACTTTTAAAGTCTGAGGCATAGACCTTTGACATAAAAACACTTTTTAGTTCTGTCTAGGGAGGTAAGATCTCAGAAAAAAGAAATAAAACATCAGTAAAAGCACTTTTGCTGTTTTTACAAAATTGAAAATCAATTGCGTGCCTTGTCCAGGTGTTTTAGGCAAACAACTGTGAAACTGTATGGTACCCACTGTAACAGAAGCAGCCAGCATTACATGTATTCTGATCATGTGCTTATGTTTTCATCTGCAGGGGCCCCAGGATCCCTGCACACAGTCGGCGTGCAGCAAACATTTAGTAAGTGAATACAGGGTGGCGGTCCGCACCGTCTTTCTAATGTGCGCGAGACTTCTGTGGCGGCACAAAAGTCACCACCTGGAATCCACATGGGCTTCTGTATCCTCCACCAAATGCCCACCGACCACTCCTCTGAAACTGAGGAGAACAGAGACTTGGGAATTTGAGTTAATAATGGTAGTTAGATGAGATTTTGGACTCAAAGTTGACCCTAGAATACGTAAGACGTTGGGGGATGTTGGGATGGGGTGAAGGCATTTCACATGTGGGAAGGACATGAATTTGGAGGAACCAAAGTGTGGACGGTTGTGCGTTGACTAGGATCCTTGAAATATGTTAAAGTCCTAACTCTCACTACCTGTCCTTCTGACCTTACCTGGGAATGGGGCTGTGCAGGTATAATTGGTTAAGATGAAATCACACTGGAGATTCTGGTGGGCCCTAATTCAATATGATGGGTGTCTTTTCTTTTTGTAATTGCATTTTAGGTTTTGGGGCACATGTGAAGAACATGCAAGACAGTTGCATAGGTACACACGTGGCAGTGTGATTTGCTGCCTTCCTCCCCTTCACCTGTATCTGGCATTTCTCCCCATGCTATCTCTCCCCAACTCCCCACCCCCCCCGCTGTCCCTCCCCTATTCCCCCCAAAAGACCCCAGTGTGTAGTGCTCCCCTTCCTGTGTCCATGTGTTCTCATTGTTCAACACCCACCTATGAGTGAGAACATGCAGTGTTTGATTTTCTGTTCTTCTATCAGTTTGCTGAGAATGATGTTCTCCAGGTTCATCCATGTCCCTACAAAGGACACGAACTCATTGCTTTTGATGGCTGCGTAGCATTCCATGGTGTATACGTGCCACATTTTCCCTGTCCAGTCTATCATCAATGGGCGTTTGGGTTGGTTCCAGGTCTTTGCTATTGTAAACAGTGCTGCAATGAACATTCGGGTGTACAGCCAAAGGACTATAAATTGTTCTACTATAAGGACGGGTGTCTTTATAAGAAGAGGAAAATCCGAACACAACATGAGAAGAAGAAAAATCTTTGTTGTTTTGTTTACCTGTATTAGTTTCCCAAGGCTGCTGCAGCAAAGTGCCTCCAACTGGGTTACCGAGACCAGCTCGGCCGTAGAGACCCCACCGGGCGGTGCTGAAGGAATTGAGAAGCAGACACCCAGCTAGAACAGCAAAGTGGGACAACCCCGGGGCCAACAGTCTTCCAAGCTGAGAGCCGCAGGGAGTTGTCAGCCTTCCAGGCTGAGGGCCTCAAGCAGATTCTGACCCACGTATTTATTCTCTCTGAACAGGTGCTCATTATTAACAAACAGGTGTTCTGTGTTTTCTCATAGACCCAAGAGAAACTAGGTGGGCAGCTGGTGCCTGCTCACCACTGATCACGGACAAACCAGAAAGTATTCTCCACGAGGGAGCCACGGGGGCAGGGTCACGTATCCCATCCTTAAAGAATTGTTTTAACTGGCGTGTGACATATATATATATACTGTTTTGCTACTTTAGAATGTCCCAAGCAGTTTTGCACTTGCAGGAGGTCGGGGGTGGGGGGTGGCCAGGTTTTCCTTTTGATCATTCTCAGCAAACAATATAATTTATCATACACCTTAGGACTTGTCCCAGTACTGGATGGCTTAAAAAACAGCAGAAATTTATCATCTCACAGTTTTGGAGGCTGCAAGTTCAAAATCAAGGTGTTGGCAGGGTGGGTCCTCTACAGGGGCTCCGGGAGCCTCTCTTGGGAGCCTCTCTTCCAGCTCCTGGAGGTTTTTTTTTTGCTCATAAGCCTGGGTAGTGTTTGGCTTGGAAAAGTGTCTCCCAGTCTTGGCCTTCATCTTCACGTGGCGCTCTCCCTGTCTGTGTCTGTCTCCAAATTTCTCCTCTTTATGAAGACACCAGCCCCCCCCACCTCCACCTGCAGTGAGTTCATTTTAAGTTAATTATCTCAGCAAAGGGCCCATCTCCAAATCAGGTCACATTCGGGGATGCTGGGAGTTTGAATTCCCACATATGGATTTTGGGGGACACAATTGAACTGGTCTCGCCAGTTCAGGTGTCCAGAATGGGTTTATTTCTCCTCTTAATTGGAGATTTACAATGTAAATGAGCCATACATTTCGTCGGTTTTGTTTTTATGAGAAGTATTTAATTTGTCGGTCTCATATATTTTACTACTTAGAAGAAATTAAAATGGCCTAAGTCAGAGTTCTCAGAGAGCTTTAATTGGCTTCCATTCCTGGTTCTCTGCCCAGATTCTCCTGACACATCCACTCCTGTTTCTGGCAGAACTTTTTCAAATCTATCCCCGGTATGTTTTTACATTACTAATTTTTCAACTGTGGCAAAACTACATCGAACAAAAACTGTGCCATCTTAGCCACTTTCAGGTGTACAGTTCAGGGGCCTGAAGCACATCCACACTGCTGTACCACCATCACCACCCTCCATCTCCAGAACGTTCTCGTCTTCCCAAACAGAGACTCTGTCCCATTTAACGCGAACTCCCGGCCGCCCTCCCCCAGCCCCGACGCCCGCCGTTCTACTTTCTGTCTCTATGTGAGATCTGCCTGGTCTGGATATTTCATGCCAGTGGAACCACACAATATTTGTCCTTCCACGTCGGGCTTATTTCACTGATCGAAATGTCCTCAAGCCTCATCCATGTTGTAGAACATGTCAGTTTTTGTTTTGTTTTGTTTTGTTTTGAGATGGAGTCTCACTCTGTCACCAGGCTGGAGTGCAGTGGTGCGATCTCCACTCACTGCAACCTCCGCCTCCCGGGTTCAAGTGATTCTACTGCCTCAGCCTCCCGAGCAGCTGGGACTACAGGCGCGCACCACTACGCCCACCTAATTTTCGTATTTTTTCTTAGTAGACACGGGGTTTCACTATGTTGGCCAGGGTGGTCTCAGTCTCTTGATTTCATGATCTGCCCGCCTCGGCCTCCCAGCATACTGGGATTACAGGCATGAGCCACCGCGCCCAGCCAGAATTTCATTCTTTTTTAAGGCTGAATAATATTGCACTGTATGTTTAGACCATGTTTGTGCCTCCATTCATCCCTGCTGGCCCTCTGGGCTGTGTCCGCCTCTTGGCCAGTGTGGACCGTGCTGCCGTGAACACTAGCAGACGTGTTTGTTCAAGCCCCTACTTTCAGCTCCTTTGGGTGGATGCCCAGGAGTAAAATGGCCCATCAAACCTGAAAGAGCAATTTTAACGTGAACCATCTTTTGCATTGTGCACCTGGGTCTCATCTGATGACCTAATAAGGTAGAGGAGACCGAGAGTCTCCGCACTGATTTCTAACCTGAATTTCTTCCCATCTCAGGCCTGTTTCATGGAGAAACCAACTCGGGGCTGCCAGGTCTCCTCCCTGCTTCTCGCCCGGCTCTGCTCAGCTCTGTCGTTTCTCAGTTAGGGAGGCACAAGGTCAAAACGGTGACAGCCGGATGCTGAAAAACAAGGCAGCTCCTGAGGACTCCAAGCCGCAGGTTTACAATCCAGCTGTTCCACTGAGATCAGAGCCGGCTCATACTTCCTGCGTGCAGACTGCATTCAGCTGGATACAAGCTCGGCGAGAGTGCTATCTAGGAAAGAATCTTGGGGTTCAAAACGAACAGCCGAAAAGTCACACAGGGAAATCGGGCATCAGTTATATTTGAAAAATAAAATAACACCAGCATTGAGGTTCCCAGTGGCAAGGTGCACGCGCATGCACACACACAGACACACACACAGACACACAAGCACACACAGAGGAAAGGGCTCGCGTGGGAGTGAAGGTGAGGGCCGAGCCATGGAGGCAGGAGTAGCAAAAGCATTTTGTTCTCTGTCCTCCAGGAGCTTAGTGTCTAGCACCGGGGATGCCGCCGGGGGCCAAGGCCACCAGCATGCCTGGGTGTGGCTGAGACAGCCATCGGGCTACCCCAGCAGTGAGGCGGCCGTGGCCAGCTCTGGCCAGAGGGCCATGAGTGCTGGCAACATGTGCTCCTTCTGCAGGAGTCTCCCCTCCTCAGAGGCACCTGCCGCAATGGCGACCCTGTCCACCGGGTCCTGGGTGACCACTTGGAGCTGGGCCCCAGCCCCACAGACACAAACAAGGGCAACAAATAAAGCCCAATGGGAGTGAGCTGTGAAGACGCTATGTCCTGCCTGAAGTGGCAGCAAACCCCCTGCCCCACCTCCAGGAGCAGCTCCTGTGTTTCTGAGTGTGGGGGTGAGGGGGGTGAAAATCCTCAAGAGGATGTGGGGACAGAAGGGTGGCATGGCCACAGCCAGCATCACAGCACTCCCCTTCCTGCCCCTCTGTGTGTCTGGGACTCACTGTCATCGTGGGTGGGGGTGGAATTGCACTTTTTTTTTTGAGACAGGGTTTTGCTCTTGTCGCCCAGGCTGGAGCTCAGTGGCACAATCTCGGCTCACTGCAACCTCCACCTCCCAGGTTCAAGCGGTTCTCTTCCCTCTGCTTCCCAAATAGCTGGAATTACAGGTGCCCACCACCAAGCCTGGCTAATTTTTTTTTTTTTTTTTTTTGTATTTTTAGTAGAGACTGGGTTTTACCATATTGTCCAGGCTGGTCTCTAACTCCTGATCTCAGGTGGCCCACCTGCCTCAGCCTCCCAAAGTGCTGGGATTACAGGCGTGAGCCACCATCCCCTGCCAGGCCTTTGACTTCTAAACAGCTTGTGGCCACATGGCTGCTGCCAAGAAAGAGATTCTGTGAAAGGAAGCGAAGCTCACGGGCAAGCACCTGTCCTTGTCTTCGGAATTTTCCTTGAAGGATGACTGTGTCGTTATGTTGACAAGGTTTAAGGCCAGGGCAATTTCTCCAGGTAGAAGCCCCCTCAGACATGATGCTGCTTTTTAAGGGGAAACAGTTTTATAGAAAGGGCAGAGTGGGAAGAAACAACTTGGTGTGGGGTTTCCAAAGCCTGCTCAGCTCCGTCCCCGTAACGGTTGTTTCATTTGGCTTGGTGTAGATGTCCTGGTAATTGGCTTTAAAGGTCAGGCAGGTTTTATGACATGCCGGTGAGTGCTGGGTTCCCTTGCGTGCGGGCCTTTTCTCGGATGAAATCTTTTCTCTCTCACAGTTGGATGTAGCAGCATCACAGAGGTGATTAACCCCAATTGCCAAAGAGGTTTCCAGCGCTGGGAGGATTCTGGAGATCAAGGCCGAGCTGGCCTCAGCCAAGTGAAATGGGAATCAGGACCATTATGAAGAAATTCAATTAAAATAAAAGGCACATCATAAACTTTGACTGGATACCTCCAAATGGAATTAATATTACCTTGGTCGAATTGCCGAGATAATTGCTTTCATTTTTCAATGCATCTTGATAAAAAGGACCAAGCTACTCTAAAATGAGTCCCAAAATGTATCCCTCTCATCTTCTCAATGACTCCTAAAACCCTCTCTGAATGACTAGATGTATTAGCTAGCTATCGCCACGTAACAAATTACCCCAAAACCTAACAGCTCAAAATAACCACAAACATCCTCCCCAACTTTTGGTATTTGTGGTCTTTTTCTTTTCAGCCTTGGGTTGGGCAGGGGTGTAGTCATTTCACATTGTGGTTTTAATTTGCATCTTCCTAACGACCAGCGCAATTAACACTTCTTCCGTGATGATTGACAATTAGCTATCCTCTTCTGTGAAGTATCCCCGTCGGTCCATGGGGTTGTCTGTCTTTTCCTTCACAAGCTCTAGTTCTCTGTATTTGCTGAATACAAGTCCTGTTTGGGATATATACATATATTTGCAACTATCCTTCCCACTCTTTTGACAGTGTCTTTTGTTTGTTTTTTAATTTTTGGTTTTTTGAGACAGAGTCTCACTCTGTCGCCCAGGCTGGAGTGCAGTGGCACGATCTCAGCTCACTGTAACCTCCGCCTCCTGGGTCCAAGCAATTCTCTGCCCCAGCCCCCTGAGTAGCTGGGATTACAGGGGTCCACCACCGCACATGGTTAATTTTTGTATTTTTAGTAGAGACGGGGTTTCACCATATTGGCTAGGCAATATGGTGAAACTCCTGACCTCGTGATCCACCCGCCTCAGCCTCCCAAAGTGCTGGAATTACAGGTGTGAGCCACCACGCCCAGCCGACAGTGTCTTTTGATGAACAGAACTTCTTGTTTTCAATACAGTTCAACTTATCGATTTCTCAGTTAGCACGTTTAAGCACTTTTTGAGAAATCTTTATTTGTGCCAAGGCTACAAAGATGTCCTCCTATGTTTTCCTCTAAAAGCTTGATTTTTCACTCTTCACTCTTAGCTCTGCCGTCCATACGGAATGCGTTATTTTGGTGTCGTGGAAGGTGAATCAAGACAAGCCTTTCCCGTACAAACCTCCAGCTCACCCAGAATTATTTATCAAAAGCTATTCCCACCTTCCCTACCATGAGACAGGCATCCTGTTACTTTTGTTGTTGCTGGAGGTGGATTTTGGATTGCTAGAAGTGATTACAGCAATCTGATAGCCCCTTAGTGATTTACATACGTATATACATCTACATGTATTAACACTTGTGCCAAAGATTAGAAACATTTAAATGTCCACATATGGGGTCAGATTAAATTATGATGACATCGAGATAACTGCCATGGAGCCATTGAAAAGTCTGAGTAGATCTGCACACATAGTTATGAACAGTCTTGGATTGTATTAGTTACATTTAAAAAATAGAGTTGGGCCAGGTGCAGTGCTCACACCTGTAATCCCAGCACTGTGGGAGGCTGAGGTGGGCACAGCACTTGAGGTCAGGAGTTCGAGACAAGCCTTGCCAACATGGTGAAACCCTGTCTCTACTAAAAATACAAAAAGTAGCCAGGCATGCTGGCAGGTGCCTGTAATCCCAGCTGCTCAGGAAGCTGAGGTGGGAGAATTGCTTGAACCTGGGAGACAGAGGTTGCAGTAGCCAAGATCTTGCCTCTGCACTCCAACCAGGGAAACAAGAGTGAAGCTCCACCTCAAAAATAATAATAATAATAATAATAACAACAACAAATAGGCTGGACACAGTGGCTCACACCCGTAATCCCAGCACTTTGGGAGGCCAAGGCGGGTGGATCACCTGAGGTCAGGAGTTTGAAACCAGCCTGACCAACATAGTAAAACCGCTTCTCTACTAAATACAAAAAAATTAGCTGGGCATGGTGGCGCGGGCCTTTAATCCCAGCTACTCAGGAGGCTGAGGCAGGAGAATCACTTGAACCCAGGAAGCAGAGGTTGCAGTGAGCCAAGATTGCGCCATTACACTCCATTCTGGGCAATAAGAGTGAAACTCTGTCTCAAAAAAAATAAAAACATAAAAATAAATAAATATAAAAAATAGAGCTAAGTTTCTCATTTAGAAAAAAATAAAAGAGAAAGAAGATGAGGAGCAGAAGAGCCTGAATAAAACGCAACATTTGTGAAAAATCGTGGGTGTTGTATACATATTCATGACTGTTATGTAATATACCTCCACATGCGCCCACAGGAAATGATAGTGACAGTTGCCCTGGAAAGGAATTTAGAGACAGACACAGGAGGGAAACTGTCCTCCAAATGTATTTTTATATGGTTTCAATTCTTTCTGCCCATGTGCATGTATTTCAGATTGTTCTGTACTAATGTACATATTAACGTATGTAACATACAGATTAATATTAATGTACATATGCATTTAATGTATTATACATTAAAATGCCTTTTCATTAAATATAAAGTCAGACAAGCTTTTTTAAAAGTTAACGTATGCCCATTTTTTTTAAAAAAATGTTGGACAAAATAGAAAAGTACAAAGAAGAAAATAAAATTGGCCCGGATCCCAGTCCCCACAAGTGACCAGTGACCGCGTTTTGCTGTCTTCTCCCAGGCTGTTGCACATCATTGAAATCACGGTGGAGGAACACTCTCTCTCTTTTTTTTTTTTTTTTTTTTTGAGACGGAGTTTCGCTCTTGTTACCCAGGCTGGAGTGCAATGGCGCGATCTCGGCTCATCGCAACCTCCGCCTCCTGGGTTCAGGCAATTCTCCTGCCTCAGCCTCCTGAGTAGCTGGGATTACAGGCACGCGCCACCATGCCCAGCTAATTTTTTGTATTTTTAGTAGAGATGGGGTTTCACCATGTTGACCAGGATGATCTCGATGTCTTGACCTCGTGATCCACCCGCCTCGGCCTCCCAAAGAGGAACACTCTCTTACCACACAACTTTCACAAAACTGTACCAAGCACTCTCTGTGTCATTACACACCCTGGCCCAGCATGCTGTGATGCCGGCTCTTTCAAGTCCTTGCTATAGGTGATAATGCTCTTCAGAGGTGTGTGAACCAGAGCTGCTCCATCTGAAATAGGAGCTGGGTAAAATGAGGCTGAGACCTACTGGGCCGCATTCCCAGATGGTTAAGGCAGTTACAGGATAAGACAGGAGGTTGGCACAGTATACGGTCATAAAGACCTTGCTGATAAAACGGGGTGTAGTAAGGAAACCGGCCAACACCCACCAAAACCAAGATGGCCACGAGAATGACCTCTGGCCGTCCTCACTGCTACACTCCCACCAACGCCATGACAGTTTACAAATGTCATGGCGACGTCAGGAAGTTACCCTACATGGTCTAGAAAGGGGAGGCATGAATAATCCGCTCCTCGTTTAGCAGATCACCAGGAAATAACCATAAAAATGGGCACCAGCAGTCCTCAGGGCTGCCCTGCCTATGGGGTGGCCATTCTTTTATCCCTTTCCTAATAAACTTGCTTTCACTTTGCACTGTGGACTTGCCTGGAATTCTTGTGCCAGCTCCAAGAACCCGCTCTTGGGGTCCGGATCGGGACCCCTTCCCTGTAATATCTTTCTGGTGACCGTGAAGGGCCTATATTGTGGAAAGCCCTGACCCAAAGGCTAACTTTGTGTAAGTGCTGGGGTCCAGTAACCCCTTTCCCATGAACCACAAAAGGGACAATACTGAGGAGACCCCCGACCCAAAGGAAATCCACTGCAGCACAGATTGGCTGACTCTGGGTGAGCGATGGGGTACCCGGGTAAAGGACGGGATTGGGTTAGAGGCCTACTTAGGGAAGTTGGATTCTCCCCTAAGACAGAGCGGGTTAGAGGCCCCTCTTAATAAAAGGCAAGAATGCAGGCCGGGCACGGTGGCTCAAGCCTGTAATCCCAGCACTTTGGGAGGCCAAGGCGGGTGGATCACGAGGTCAAGAGATCGAGACCATCCTGGTCAACATGGTGAAACCCCGTCTCTACTAAAAATACAAAAAATCGGCTGGGCATGATGGCGCATGCCTGTAATCCCAGCTACTCAGGAGGCTGAGGCAGGAGAATTGCCTGAACCCAGGAGGCGGAGGTTGCAGTGAGCTGAGATTGCGCCATTGCACTCCAGCCTGGGTAACAAGAGCGAAACTCCGTCTCAAAAAAAAAAAAAAAAAAAAAGGCAAGGATGCTTGACCGACCTTGGGTTAAACACCCAACTTAGGGAGGGTTAGAGTCCCTTCTAAGAGTTAGGGGTTTAAAGACAGCAAAATCCCTCGCAGCTAAGAACAGGTTTGGCCCCAGGGGATGTAACTGCTCGTCTCTTTGGATTAATCTGCCCTGCACTCTTTGCTGATGGCTGTGGGTGACACGGTTGGCAGGTACAGGATTGTGGGACTTGGGGAGCTTTTTCCTCCCTAAATGGGGAAACTTGAGAGCGACGGGACTGCTGGAAAAGATTCCTTTGCTGCCGACAAGTGGCCGCCTGAAGTCTTCACTGTCCGCTGCAATGAGTGGGTCTTTTCTGGCCTCCCTGCGCTCTTCCCCTTCCCCACCCTGACTCAGGCAACGCTTTCCTTCTCTCCTTTTCCTTTCCTATCTTTTCTGTTACTCAGGGCAGCCATCTTGCCCAGAGACCACGTGGTGAAACTCCAAGTTGGAAACTGGATTAAAGAAGAAGGGGCCCATCTGAGGACAAATTTCAGCCTTGCCAATTTGATAGTGGGGGCTAAGCAGAGTGGCTAATGTCTAGGTTTTATCACATGTATTTTGTTTTGGCCAGAACAAAAAATAATAATTTCCTTTATGATGAGGCTTGGCCCCTGGGTGATGGTGCCACAAGCTGGATCACTAAGGCTGCTCAGGGAAAGGGAACCCGGAAGCCTGGAATACCAGCAAAAGGGTAAGAATTTCTGGCTGGGCACAGTGGCTCACACCTGTAGTCCCAGCACTTTTGGAGGCCAAGGTGGGTGGATCACGAGGTCAGGAGATCGAGACCATCCTGACTAACACAGTGAAACCTTGTCTCTACTAAAAATACAAAAAATTAGCCAGGCATGGTGGCACACGCATGTAGTCCCAGCTACTCGGGAGGCTGAGGCAGAAGAATCCTTTGAGCCCGGGAGGCAGAGGTTGCAGTGAGCTGAGATCGTGCCACTGCACTCCAACTTGGGCAACAGAGTGACACTCCATCTCAAAAAATTTTAAAAAAGAGTCAGACGTTCTTACCAGCCAGATACCTGGCTTCTCTCTGTGCAAACAGTTGAACGAATGGTAAAAAAAAAAATAAAATATAATAAAATAATCAGTGTTTAGCTCTTCTGTCAAGTTTTGATTAATGCAAAAAAGAATTCTAAGGCTAGTCTTAAGCTGGTGTGTTTTGTGCTATGAGTTCATTTTTCTGTGTTGAGGGGTAATTTCAGGGTAAAACACGGCCTTAGAACACCTGTAAGCCCGCTGTTCACGATGACCCAGCAAACCGGGCAGTAGCAGACTTGGCTGCAGGTGCCTGCAACAAAAAAAAACTGGGCAAAGTCTCCACCTTGTTTTATGTCCTTGGGAACTTGACCTTGTGACCACATGGCAGTACTTTTGGTCTCCCCCTTCCAGGGAACAGGAATCTTAGGGTTCATGTCATAGTTAGCTGTAAAAATCATATTTGTTAAAAAGCCTTGGCAAGCTCAAAATTCACTCTTCTGCACTCACTCCTTCTGGGAAGGGCGATGGAGGCTGCCCCATGCTGGAGCTCAGTGGCCAAAGCTTCACACTTTCACAGTGGCGATCCAGGCTTGATTCCCCACCTAGGAAGTAAGTCCTTTCTGGTTTAATGTCTGCACGACCTTGTCTATTCGACTCTCCTCCATGGAGTGTTTTAAGTTTTCCTTTCTCTAAGCACCTGGGAGGTTAAAGTTCAAAGGCTAGAAATATCGGCTGTTTGGCAGAAGAAATTCTAAAAGGACTTTGTTCAGGAGTGTTGTGGTTAAAATCAGTTTAATTAAAAGTGGATATTCAAACTCTAACAGCCTAGACTCCTTGAGAAAAACAGAGGCACCAGAGACCCCTTTCCCGGCCCTGTTCTTCCAAGGGCTCCACCTGACAGCCAGTCATCTAACTAGAAAACTTAAAAACTGGCTAATGAAAAATTTTACAACTACTGTAGTAATCGTCTTCTGTCTTTCTGTATAGCTATACGTGTTTTCTGTAATGTTTACATAAAAGAGCACTAATTAATTGGCTTAAACACAAATAAGCACTTATATCAAATATTCTGAAGGCAAAATAAAAACTGCAATGCCTGGGGCTGGGCACAGTGGCTCACGCCTGTAATCCCAGCACTTTGGGAGGCTGAGGCAGGCGGATCACAAGGTCAAGAGTTTGAGATCAGCCTGGCCAACATGGTGAAACCCTGCCTGTACTAGAAATACAAAAATTAGCCAGGCATGGTGGTACGCACCTGTAATCCCAGCTACTCAGGAGGCTAAAGCAGGAGAATGGCTTGAACTAGGGCAGAGGTTGCAGTGAGCCGAGATTGTGCCACTGCACTCCAGCCTGGGCAACAGAAGGAGACTCCTTCCAAAAAAAAAAAAAAATTGCAATGCCTTTTAGTTCATGCAACTTTAGTAATCTTTGGGAAATAAAAACAGCTTTAAAAATTATTGATAAAAAACATTTAGTCTAAATTGTGAAGGTCAGATACTAAATTTGCTAAATGCTTTAAGATCATAAACTACTTCTTTAATTTTTAAAAATTATTCAATCTACCTACCTTAAAGCCATTAGATTCTAGATAAGACCTGGGACATGGGGAATTAGGCATGCTTCCTAGCTATACAAAGATGATTATGAAGAAAGAGATTTTCTATAAGAAAGGATCTTGCACCAGGCACGGTGGCTCACACCTGTAATCCCAGCACTTGAGAGGTCAAGGTGGGTGGATCACCTAAGGTCAGGAGTTCGAGACCAGCCTGACCAACATGGTGAAACCCCATCTCTACTAAAATTACAATATCAGCCCGGTGTGGTGGCACAAGCCTCTAATCCCAGCTACTTGGGAAGTTGAGGCAGGAGAATCACTTCAACCCAGAAGGTGGAGGTTGCAGTGAGTTGAGATTGTGTCACTGCACTCCAGCCTGAGCAACAGGAGTGAAACTCTGTCTAAAAAAAAATATTGTCCTAGACTGGATGCAATGGCTCACACCTGTAACCCCAGAACTTTGGGAGGCCAAGGTGGGCAGATCTTCATGAGGTCAGGCATTCAAGACCAGCCTGGCCAACATGGTGAAACCCCATCTCTACTAAAAATTACAAAAGTTAATGGGGCATGGTGGCATGAACCTATAATTCCACTGCACTCCAGCCTGGGTGACAGAGCAAGACTCCAGCTTAAAAAAAAAAAAATCTTGTTCTAAAGTAAAATGACTGGTTATTTAAAAGGAGGAATGTTTACAGCAAGTCAGAAAGTCTAATGTCTCAGGTCATCTAAGTCATGAAAGGATTTGTGAAAGGGAATTTGTGCAAGAACTGTTGTACAATTCAAAGGTTGTTAGGTCTCCTAAATAATACTATGACTTTTACTGTACAACTTGCCTGCTTTACAGCTAGGTAAGGCCTGGAGACATGTGGAGTTAGCCATGTCCCCAGCTATGCTGGAGAGTCAGCTCTAAATCTACACTTTTGCCTGGTGTGTCCTAGGCAAGCTCCACACATAATACATAATTAGAATCTCAAATTTACCAAGATTTTTGCCAGAAATAAAAGTTGAAAATGTGTTTTTGGTGAAGGATTGTAAGATTTGGTATAAGTGGTATATGTTCCAAAGTGATGGGAAACTCCTATAATTGTAATATGACTTAGTGTAGTTATTAATAATTGTTAGGTAAAATTTTTTGTGCCACATAAGTAACCAAATTTCCTTATCAATCATGGTTCTAACAGTGGCTCTCTTAAAACTTTTCATCCACAGATAATCATTGTCTTGTTTTAATCCTCTTTAAAAGGTGGTTTATAATTAATAATAAAACTCTAGCTAGTGGCTTAAATGCAGGTTTCTAATAACTTTGTAAATTGTAACATTAGAATAGATGAAACAGCTTTCAGAATTCTGATGAAGAGCTGGAATGTTCATAAATATCAAATACGACAGGAGTTAACTAAACCAATATAAAACTGAAGTAATCTTTTTCGCTAAAACACTACTGATTCTTTTTCATTCATCAGAGTGAAGGAAACCTTTGTGCTATTTACAGCTTTTTGCAATTGAGTAAAGTATACTCCTGTGAACAAAATATGGAGCATATTTGTTTCTCACTACCTGATTTCTCCAAAATTTGGAAGCTATTTGTGAGTACTCTTAATTTATGGCACTTTAGCTACTTGCATAAGTGTGATAAGAGTCTATTTTCTGGGCTGGGCTTAGTGGCTCATGCCTGTAATGCCAGCACTTTGGGAGACCAAGGAGAGCAGATCACTTGAGGTCAGTAGTTTGAGACCAGACTGGCCTAAAAGTCAAAACCCCATCTCTACTGAAAATTGAAAAATTAGCTGGGTGTGGTGGCACACACCTGTAATCCTAGCTACGCGGGAGGCTGAGGCAGGAGAATTGCTTGAACCCAGGGAGTGGAGGTTGCAGTGAGATGAGACTGAGCCACTGAATTCCAGCCTGTGCAACAGAGTTGAGACTCTGTCAAAAAAAAAAAAAAAAAAAAAAAAAAAGCAGGGGGTCAGGGCAGGAAAGTGTTTCCTTTTGCAGCAGGACCCAATTGGACAAACTGGTTATTTTACCAAGGCTTTAACTGGAATGATGTGCTCCGCCCTCCCCCTAGGCTGGCAGAGGCATCGCACCTGGTCCTCTGCCCAAGCCTGCTTCCCTTCCCCTCCCTCTGCAGTGGATAAGAGCAGTAACAGCTTGCATCCCAAGCCCCACCTCAGCAGCCACCCCTAGGGAACCCACCCTGAGGCACACACCATTGAAGTCTTTGGTAGAGGGAATTCGGGTCTTATTGTTGGTGTGATGAAAAGCCACTGGCAGGTTTTGGGCAAAAGAAAAGAGCCATGATCTGATTTATTATTTTGTAAGACGACTTGAGCTGCTTTGTAGAGAATAGACTGGGAGGTGGAGAAAGCTCAAGTGTGGAAGTAGGGGAAGAGATAAGAGCTTGGTGTACTCATCCAAGTGAGATGGATCAGGAGTTTGGAGAAAGGAAGTAGACATGGATGAGACAGGAAATGAGGTGTATTGGGTATATTTTGAACAGAGTGACCTTAAATACTGGAGCCTGCAGCAAGCTTCATACTAAATAGCAAAACTTTCAAGTCAACCTCATTAACGACAGGAACAAGGGGCCACGCACGGTGGCTCACGCCTGTAATCCCAGCACTTTGGGAGGCCAAGACGGGTGGATCACTTGAGGCCAGAAGCACGGTGAAACCCCATCTCTATTAAAAATATAAAAATGATCCGGGCACGGCTGTGGACGCCTATAGTCCCAGCTATTCAGGAGGCTGAGGCAGGAGAATTGCTTGAACCCGTGAAGCAGAGGTTGCACTGAGCTGAGATTGTACCACTGCACTCCAGCCTGGGCAACAGAGGGAGGCTCCGGAAATAAATAAATAAATAAATAAAAATTTTAAAAATAAAGCCAGGAACAAGGCAAAGAGGAATTTTACCATCGCTGCTAAAATTCAACACTAAATCAAGGCAAATGCAGTAAGACAAGAATATGAAAGGTGAGTAATAGAAGAAGATGCAGAGAAGCCATGGCTGACCGTGCAGTCCCTGAAAGATAACGTTATATTGCTTGAACACAAATTGAAATAAGAGAATTCAGAAAGGTCTGGCGAGACCGGCAATTTCCCGGCTGATTAAGGAAGAGGTATGACCACCAGGGGGCGCCGGCGCACAGTGAGCTTCCTCTGGGCCACTTTTTGACAGCTGAGAGACTTTCCAGAGAAGACAGCACTGGGCCACACCCAGAGGGGGGCAAGGGCAAGGTGACCTGGGGAGAGGGAACTCTGTGAGAGGTTACCGACCTAGGTGAATCTCCGAGTCAGAGACCTCCAGAGGGCAGCGGCCGTTTGAAGTCTCAAAGTGGCCAACAGCATGCTTCTCTGTGGTATATTTAACGCAAATGGATGTGTGGAAATTTGAGTTCGGTGCTGGCTGGTTTGAGCTAAAGCCCCAGCCTGCTGTGAAGAAGTGAAAGCACGGGGTCAATATGTAGGACCCACTTTACCCCTTGGAGAGAACAAGGTGACCAGGTATGAGGTCAGCATAAACACCAAAAGGGTTCCTACACCCAAGCATTGAAACGTCACGGAGCATCCCATTCCCCAAAGCCACAAAGCCTACAGAATATCTAGGTTAACGCTAAAAAAAAATACGTGCAAGAAGACAGCAAAACCTTTTCCAAAAACCTTTTATGAAGACATGAATAGGCCAGGCATGGCGTCTCAAGCCTGTAATCTCAGCACTTAACGGGCTGAGAAGGTGAATCACTTGAGGTTAGGAGTTTGGGACCAGCCTGGACAACATGGTGAAACCCCATCTCTACTAAAAAGAAATATAAAAATTAGCCAGGCGTGGTGGCACACGCCTGTAGTCCCAGCTACTTAGGAGGCTGGGGCAGGAGAATCGCTTGAACCAGAAGGCAGAGGTTGCAGTGAGCCAAGATTGCGCCACTGCACTCCAGCCTGGGTGACAGAGCAAGACTAGTTTGTCTCAAAGAAAAAAAAAAAAGGACATGAATAAAAGGAAATAATATCATTTTTCTGGAAGGGATGATTTGATATTATAAAGGTGATCCCCCATCGATCTACACGTTGAATGCTGTCACAGTCAAAATTCCAACAGATGTTCACAGCAGTGAGAAGCCAACCCTAAAGTTCACCCAGAAGAGAAAAAGAGTTTAAGATTTGTTAAAGGGGCCGGGCGCCGTGGCTCACGCCTGTAATCCTAGCACTTTGGGAGGCCGAGGTGAGTGGATCACCTGAGGTCAGGAGTTCAAGACCAGCCTGGCCATCATGGTGAAACCTCATCTTAAAAAAAAAAAAAAAAAAAAAAAATTGTTCAAGGTGAAAAAAAAGAGAGAGAAGAAAAGTAAACAGAACCAAGAAATTTGGCTTTAATGACAAAAAAAGGAAACAACCTGAATATGTCCATCAATAGGGAGATGGTTAAATAAATTAACAGTTTGCTATTCAAGAATTTACTCACCAGGCTTGGTGGCTCACACCTATAATCCCAGCAATTTGGGAGGCCAAGGCTGGAGAATCCCTTGAGCCTAGGAGTTCAAGATCAGCCTGAACAACAGAGCAAGACCCCTTCTCTTCAAAAAATTTAAAAACTATGGCAGGAAACAGAGCCAAATCATGATTGAATTCCCATTCACCATTGCTGCAAATAGAATAAAATACCTAAGAGTCCAGCTAACAAGAGATGTGAAGGACTTCTTCAAGGCTATACCACTCCTCAAGGAAAGTGGAAATGGAAAAACATTCCATGCTCATGATAGGAAGACTCAATATCATCAAAATGGCCATACCGCTAAAAGTAATTTACACATTCAATGCTATTCCCATTAAACTGCCACTGACATTCTTCAAAGAATTGGAAAAAACCTATTTTAAAATTCATATGGAACCAAAAAACAGCCCAAATAGTGAAGACAATACTAAGCAAAAAGAACAAAGCTGGAGACATCATGCTACCTGACTTCAAACTACACTACAAGGCTATAGTAACCAAAACAGCATGGTAATGGTACAAAAACAGACACATAGACCTATGGAACAGAATAGAGAACTCAAAAATAAGACCATACATCTACAACCATCTGATCTTCAACAAACCTGACAAAAACAAGCAATAGGGAAAGGATTCCCTACTTAATAAATGGTAGTGGGAGAACTGGCTAGTCATATGCAGAAAATTGAAACTGGACCCCCTCCTTACACCTTATACAAAAATTAACTCAAGATGGATTAATGACTTAAATGTAAAACCCAAAACTATAAAAACCCTAGAAGAAAATCCAGGCAATACCATTCAGGACATGGGCATAGGCAAAGATTTATGATGAAAATGCCAAAAGCAATTGCAACAAAGCAAAAATGGACAAATGAGGTCTAATTAAATTACAGAGCTTCTGCACAGCAAAAGAAACTGCCATCAGAGTGAACAGGCATCCTACAGAATGGGAGAAAATGTTTGCAATCTGTCCATCTGACAGAGGTCTAACATCCAGAGTCTACAAGGAACTTAAACAATTTACAAGAAAAAAAAAAACATCAAAAAGTGGGCAAAGGACACGAACACACACTTCTCAAAGAAGACATTCATGTGGCCACAAACATGAAAAAAAGCCCAACATCACTGGTCATTAGAGAAATACAAATCAAAACCACAGTGAGATGCCATCTCACACCAGTCAGAATGGCGATTATTAAAAAGTCAAGAAGCACAGATGCTGGCGAGGCTGCGGAAAAACAGGAACACTTGTGCACTGTTGGTGGGAGTGAAGATTAGTTGAATCACTGTGGAAAACAGTGTGGTGATTCCTCAAAGATCTAGAACCAGAAATACCATTTGACCCAGTAATCCTGTTACTGGGTATATACTCAAAGGATTATTGATCCCTCTATTGTAAAGATACATGCACGTGTATGTTCACTGAAGCACTATTCACACTAGCAAAGACATGGAATCAATCCAAATGCCCATCCATGACAGGAGTAAAGAGAATGTGGTACACATACACCATGGAATATTATGCAGCCATGAAAAGGAACAAGATCATGTCCTTTGCAGGGACATGAATGGAGCTGGAAGCTGTTATCCTCAGCAAACTAACACAGGAACAGAAAACCAAACACCACATGTTCTCACTTATAAGTGAGAGCTGAATGATGAGAACGTATGGACACAGGGAGGGGAATACCACACACTGGGGCCTGTCGGAGTCGGGGAATGAAGGGGAGGAGAACATCAGGAAGGATAGCTAATAAATGTGGGCTTAATACCTAGGTGATGGGTTGATCCATGCAGCAAACACCATGGCACACATTTGCCTGTGTAACAAAACTGCACTTCTTGCACACACGCCCACCAGAACTTAAAGTGAAAGTTGAAGAAAAAAGCTATAGCAGCTAATTACTTTCTAAGCAATTTGAAAAAACGACAAAATGAAACTTGAAAAAAAAGAAAGAAAGAAAACGATGGCTGGGTGAGGTGGCTCATGCCTGTAATCCCAGCACTTTGAGAGGCCAAGGAACGCAGATTGCTGAATAACTGGAGTCTGAGACCAGCCTGGCCAACATGGCGAAAACCCACCCCGTCTCTATTAAAAATACAAAAATTAGACAGGCGTGGTGGCGTGTGCCTGTAATCCCAGCTACTCAGAAGGCTGAGGCAGAATTGCTTGAACCTGGGAGGTTGAGGTTACAGTAAGCAAAGATCATGCCACTGCACTCCAGCCTGGCAACAGAGCATGACTCTGTCTCAAAAAAACAGAAATAACTGGCCAGGCACAGTGACTCACATCTGTTAATCCCAGCACTTTGGGATGCAAGGAGTGCAGATCTCTAAATACCTGGAGTTTGAGGCCAGCCCGGCCAACATAGTGAAATCCATCTCTACTAAAAACAAAAAATTTAAAAAAATTCGCTGAGTGTGGTGGCACACACCTGTAGTCCTAGCTACTTGGGAGGCTGGGGCAGGAGAACTGCTTGAACCCAGAAGGCAGAGGTTGCAGTGAGCTGACATCACACCACTGCACTCTAGTCTGGGTGACAGAGTAAGACTCTATGTCTCAAAAGAAAAAAAAATTTAAGTTGCCAGGTGTGGTGGCACACACCTGTGGTCCCAGGTACTAGGGAGGCTAGTGGGAGGGTCGCTTGAGCCCAGGAGGTCAAGGCTGAAGTGAGCCAAGATCATGCCACTGCATTCCAGCCTGGGCAACAGGGCAAGATCCTGTCTCTTGAAAAAAAAAGTGTATGTGGAAATAAGGTTTTTAGAGGGCAACTGTAGAACCCTAAAATAATAGGAAGCCTTTCCATTTTTTTTTTTTTTTTTTTTTTGTGACAGAGTCTCACTCTATTGCCCAGGCTGGAGCTCAATGGTGCAATCTCGGCTCACTGAAACCTCTGCTTCCCGGGTTCAAGCAATTCTCCTGCCTCAGCCTCCTGAGTAGCAGGCGTGCACCTCCACACCCAGCTAATTTTGTATTTTTAGTAGAGATGAGGTTTTGCCATGTTCGTCAAGCTGGTCTCGAACTCCTGACCTCATGATCCACCCGCCTCAGCCTCCCAAAGTACTGGGATTACTGGTGTGAGCCACTACACCCGGCCAGGAAGCCACTGTTATAAAACCAAAGCTACCTATCTTCATGTGTGTATATGTGCATACGTGCATGCACAGGTATGTAAATGTCTATCATTCTAGTCTGGGTGACAGAGTAAGACTCTGTCTCAAAAGGAAAAAAAAATGTTTTCTGGGTGCAGTGGTGTGATGTCAGCTCACTGGGACCTCTGCCTTCCGGGTTCAAGCAGTTCTCCTGCCCCAGCCTCCCAAGTAGCTAGGACTACAGGTGTGTGCCACCACACTCAGCGAATTTTTTTACATTTTTTATTTTTAGTAGAGATGGATTTCACTATGTTGGCCGGGCTGGCCTCAAACTCCAGGTATTTAGAGATCTGCACTCCTTGCATCCCATAGTGCTGGGATTACAGGCATGAGCCCCCTCACCCAGCCATCGTTTTCTTTCTTTCTTTTAAAGTTTTAAGTTTCATTTTGTAGTTTTTTCAAACTGCTTAGAAAGTAATTAGCTGCTATAGTGTCCTTCCGGCACATCTGGAAGGACACATCACCACCAAGGCAGGCAATGGGACTCTCTGTGCTGTTTGGATTTTCACAAGAAGGCATTCGTTTGTTACCTGTACTATTAGAATCATTTTCCTGAACAATGCAGAAGATTCTGCCCTGACCCTAATATGGCTGGTCTTTCTAACAGACCTGAGCAGCCACGGCAGGAGGTCGGACACATAACGTTTTCTTTCCATCTCTTTCCACTCTGTGTGCTGGGACTTCACGTCCCCCTCACCTCGCTGACACTCCGCTCATCCCCGTCTGCAGGGGGACGAAGCCCCACCTCACATCCCAGTCCCACCTGTTGCAGGGCTAGACCATGCACCTGAGGGCCCGGCCCAGGGCCCAGCCAGCTGCAGGGGGACGAAGCCCCACCTCACATCCCAGTCCCACCTGTTGCAGGGCTAGACCATGCACCTGAGGGCCTGGCCCAGGGCCCAGCCAGCAAGCCCAGATCAACTCACAGAGGCTGCTCTTCTCACCTGCACCACCGTTGCTGAAGTTACCGCTGTCACCTCACACAGGCAGCGTGGTGTCCGTGGGTACCCTGACCTCTGTCGCTGCTCACCGATGCTCAGCCACTCATTCATCTGCCTGCATGCCCTCCTCAGCTGGATCCTCGTCGGTGCCTGCAGCCTGGGTGGTGGGTAGCATGGGGGGTGGGGCCAGCCCAGCCCGGCCGCCCACAGCTGTGCATCCTCTGGCCATGGCTCTGCTTCGCCCCCTTGTCTAGAAAACCCTTGCAGAGACTCAGTGAAACAGGCCCAACATGGGTGTCAGCGTGCTTTGATGACATGAGGGGCAGGAAAGTGTGTACTGGAAAGGGCCTGGGCCCTGACCCCACCACCCACCCTCATCTGCCGACTGGGGCTACAATGCCTCCCGCAGATGTGGCTGTTAAGACTTATTTTGGTGAAGACCATCAGCTGCAAGTGACAGAAGCTCAACTCAAACCAAGGGAAGCGAATGAAGCTAATTTGTAGCTGGTTTCTCAGTGCGAGGGCGGGGCTGGAGGCGCCTTGCAGGAGTGGAGCAGAGGCTGGCAGAGCCAAGGGCTTCGGTACTGGAAGTGGCACTGTGACTTCCAGGCAGTGTCTGCAGGCCCTTTTGTCTTCCTGCCTTTCAACAGCAGCCAGGCTCCCTCTGTGGGGGAGAGGGGCAGAGAATACAGGGTGGCGGGTGCAGGGGGCCCCTTTCCCACCCAGGGGACCATGGCAGGGACAGCTGCTCTTCCCAGCCTCCCCGTAGCCTTTCCAGGGAAGGACCCAATGGCCCTGCCGGGATCCCATGTCCAGACCTGGCTTCAGTCACTGTCACCAAAGGCTGGGCTTCCCTAAAAGGACTGGGTCCAGGCACACCCCTCAGCAGGGGGCACAGCCTATTACAAGAGGAAGGGAATGGAAGCACTCCCCGGGGAATGAACACATAAACAAAAGTAAAACAAGGGCCAACCACAGAAAACTACCACACTGGCTGCAGGACGCCCTGCACTAGGGCGTGTGACACCTGGGAGAGGCCCTGGCACGCAGTAGGTCTCAACAATGCAGACTGGCATTGTGATGGGGAACTGGCAAATGGGATTCTCTTCCTCCCAGCCATCACTGCCACCACCGCCACCACCACCACCACTCAGCAGCAGTAAATTGTCCTCAGAAATGCTTTAAACATTAGTCATGTTTTCCAACCCAACTTTTGAGAAACAGCATTTTGGCCACAAGTGTGTACTGCTTCTGCTCACAGATGTGAAGTTTAGAGCTGCCCACCGTGCAGCACACAGTGGGGCAGCACCCAGGGGGCCAGTGCACAGGGGGGCAGCACATGGGGACCAGCACACAGTGGGGCAGCACATGGGGTCCAGTGCATAGTGAGGCAGCGCATGGGGTCCAGCACAGAGGGGCCAATGTATAGTGGGGCAGCACATGGGAGCCAGCACACAGTGGGGCAGCACACAGGGTCCAGTGCACAGGGGCCAATGCACAGTGGGGCAGCATATGGGGACCAGCCCACAGTGAGGCAGTGCACAGTGGCCAGTGCACAGTGGGGAAGCACATGGGGGCCAGCGCACAGTGGGGCAGCCCATGGGGCGGAGAAGCCCACAGCGTGGGAGCACAGGATGGGAGCACAGGTGGTGGGCTTCTCAGATTAATGATAGGACTCTAGGTCAGCCACAGGGTGGGTGGAGGGGCTTCTCCCTGGGTGCCCAGGCCAACCTCCAATTTGCTTCTCTGCAGGGCATCTGGCTTTGCTTGTGTTGAAGTTTCCTTTCATTTGGAAACTTCCCTTTACAGGACGTGTTTTCCAGGTCACAGTGCCTAAGGGGAAGTCATTAAATCCAGTACACAGCTGTTACCAGAAACCAGCGCGGTGTGGGGCGGGGCTTGGATCTCTTGGATCTCATCATGGAAGACCTCCAGAGGCCCTCCCTCACTTGTCCGCCCATTTCGCAGCTGGGGCCGCTGAGACCGTGGTGGACAGAGTGGACCCCTGCCCCGTGCAGCTGATCCTTCACTGAGGAGGCCTCCAGACATCAGCTGCTGGGAGGATCATCCACAGTGACGCTCTCCACCGTGGTGAAGAGTGGCAGGCGTAGGGAGGGCTGGGCTGTGGGCACAGCCTGGGGGAAGGTGCCAATCAGACACCCCAGATGCAAAATCTTCTAGCACAGAGGTGGTATCTACTCTTCCCTGAGCCCAGAAGACCCACCAGCTCCCAGGGATGTGCAGAAACAAGGGCCTGGAAGACACACCCTAGGGTCCACGCTGCCCAGCAGGGGCAGGTGCTGTCATAACCAGGAAGTCTGTTCTCATCTCGCTCCATCCAAATGCACTTTTTCAAATCCAAGACACATAAGATGCTTTTTTTTCTTTTAGAGATGGAGTCTCACTCTGTTACCCAGGCGGGAGTGCAATGGCATGGTCTCAGCTCACTGCAACCTCTGCCTCCCAGGTTCAAGCGATTCTCCTGCCTCTCCTGCCTCAGCCTCCTGAATAGCTGGGACTACAGGCGTGTGCCACCAAACCCGGCTAAGTTTTATATTTTTAGTAGACGGGATTTCACTATGTTGGCCAGGCTGGTCTCAAACTCCTGACCTTGACACACAAAGACACTTTAAGAAAAAAAAGTTTTCTGTTAAGCAAGTTGTTTAAGAGCTGAGCAAAACAATAGGTTTCAATTTCCCCCGAAATCAGGCATAGGGATGTCCTGCACTCAGGACAGTAGGAGTGTGGGAATTTGGGTGGGAGTCATGAAGGTCAACCACAGTGGTGAGTCTTGGAGGCTCCCACGCCATCCCACCCCTGCCTGAACCTTGGGTGACAGAGGAATGGTTGGGGTCCAGAGAGGTTGGGGGTTCCAGGAGCAGAAAGGACTTGGGCCTCCACCCAACAGAGCTACTCCTGCAGGGGGAAAGGGGTGAGGTGGGGCCAGGACAGGTCTAAGAAAAGCCTTCCTGGCCTTCCCTGGTGCTGGGCATGGTATAAACCATCCTCCCTGCCACCCAAGCATCTTTTGTGGGATATTCCTTTCTCAGGAATGCAGCCTGGGGCAGGACTTCTCTTCAGGGCACAGTCAGCAGGCCCTTCCTGCCTCAAGGGAGGGCTCCTGACAGGAGGAGTCCATCCTGATTCTGCAGGCGGGTCCTGCTGAGAGGAGGGCAGGAGGAGCAGGGAGAAGGCCACGTGAGGATAGAGAGAGACCTGAGCGATGGAGGAAGGGGCCATGAGCCACGGCAGATGGGCACCACCTGGAAACTACAAAAGACAAGGAAAGAGATTCTCCTCAGGAGCCTCCAGCAGAAGCCAGGCTTGCCAACACCTCTATGTTAGTCCAGCGAGGCTGAGTTCAGACTCTGTCCTGCAGAACCGCAAGAGGCTAATATGTGCATTGCTCCGAGCCTCAGTGTGGCCATCTGTTATGGCAGCCACAGAGGCTCCCATGTGGCCGCGTGTCTGCACTGCAGATGCTGCAGGCGGGGCTGGCACAGACCTGGGCTCGAACCCTGGCTCCAGCACTCACTGGCTGTGGACAACAGTTCAGGTCACCTTTCTGCACCTCAGTTGACTGACAGTGAGGTGGAGATAATGAGCGCTGGGTGCCCTAGACTATGGAGCGTTGGATAAGTGAACAGAGACCCTGGTCTCCTGGGCTGCTGAGGGAAGGCAATGAGATCCCATTAGTGAGGGGGCCCAGAGAAGTGGGAGTAGAAGGGCCACAGAGGCTTAGGGTGGAGCTGTTGCTAGTGTCCCCAAGCATTCTTTCTCCCTTCATCTGCAGGAACAGAATTGTCAACAGAGAGTGGTCCCTTGGGGGTAAAGACTACATTTCCCAGCATCCTTTGTAGTCAGGTGTGGTACATGACCATATTTTGGCCAATAGGCTATAAGGAGGCAGCTGCAGTGCACCCTGCCCTTCTGCCCCCTCCTATCTGGGATGTTCCTGAAGCTCCACGCTCACAGTGAGGTGTGGGCCACACCCTGGGAAGGGCAGAGCTACCGGCTGGAAGGAGCCTGGGTCCCTGATGACCTGAGGCCACAGAGCCATCATGGGAACCATGGACTACCCACCCCTGGACTTTTGCATATTGGAGAAATAAATGTGTCTGGCTGAAACTACTGTTGATTTGGTTCCCTATCCAGAGGGGCTGAAGAACTAGAGTATCAGCAGGTGCACCTGCTGCTCTCACATCGTCCTGTGGGACCCTGCATCAGCATCCAAGTTTCCTGACAGTCACCACCTGGTCTCCAGTGACAAGGGAAGGGGCAGAGGGTCAGGAGGCCCATAAGCACCCCCAGCCTCAGCCCCAGAGAATCCCTCCACCCTCAAGCACAGCTCCTGAGACAGCACCACACACTGCAGGTCTGCCAAAGTGCACACTGCCTGAATACCCTCACTGGTGGTGGCCACCGTCACTGACAGTGGTAAGCATCTGGAGAAAGTGCGACAGTAACAGGCGGGTACGAGCCCACTGTGCCGATGCAGAGACCAGGATTCAGAGAGGCTCCCTTCATCTCTGCCCACCGGCAGCCCACAAGGTCACAGCTGTCCCCTTTTGATGCCTGTGGTTCCAGTTGTGGGTTTGTGATCAATCCAAGGGCAGGATCAAGGGAAGGTAGAGAGTTCCCCCGCAACCCCCATGTCCTAAACAGCGGCAAGACAGAGGAACTAAGGGGAGAAGGGCTAATGTTCTTACATGATCTACCATTCAGTTTCCACCATTTCTATACTAAGCTTACATTATTTTTACAATGAGGCATGTTTCCTCCCACCAATCCTCACCCACACTGCTTTTCACAGTTCTGACTTTTTTCCCGCCTATGACTGAGTCGACCAACACACAAGAGGATTCAAATCACAGTGGACTTGTAAGGAACAGTTTAATCAGCTTTTGATTCCAATTATCTCTCACATCCATGGGCTTTTAAGATCTCCTCGAGCTCCATGGGGTTTGCCTCCTCTTTCCTCCCGTCCTTTGGGCCAGCTAAGGCCCCCGTCACGCCCACCTCTGTGGCTGCCCTGGCTGCCTCAGGGGAGAACTGATCATGCCAACACCAGGCACCCGAATCACACCTGGATTCCACAGCATCCAGACAGCTCTCTCTCTCCTTCAAATAGTCTCAGGGAAATGACTGTTAATTAACTTTGCATTTGCTTATTCCCTGTGCAACTCATTATCCCAATTAAACCACCTCTCGTGAAGTCTGGCACTTTCAGTTATTTCAAATTATTTCAACTCAAACGTCTGAGGCCCCTTATGCTGCTATTTTTCTTACCCAGAACATCATTCTCAGTTTGGAACCAGCAGGCGAGGGGAAGCAGCGGTGGATCGGCTGCCACGTTGTCAGTTAACCCCTTTTCAGGCAAGTCTCTTCACCTGGGAAACTCGGGTTCTTCTCTGTGGCGGGTCCAGGATGTTGACAGCGGCAACTAAACACACAGAAGCAGGCCAGGAGTAAGGCAGGCGTGAGGACGAGAATGGGAACCAAAGTCTAGGATGAATCCATTCTGGGTACCGAAACCCAAAGACAAGACAAAATGGGGAGATGAAAAGTAATGCCCCCCCACAGGGTTACTATATGGCTTACGTGAATTAAGCTGGGCTCTCCACTCCAGGTCTCACAAGGTCTAAATCAAGGTGGTGGCTGGGATGAGCTCTTCCCCGAAGGCTCTCGGGGAGAATCCTCCTCCAGTTGCATTCAGGTGGCCCCGAGTCCAGCTCCTGGCGGCTGCAGCTCTGGGGTCCTCGTTCCCTGGCTGGGGGCCATTTTGCTTCTATAAGTCACTCACATGCCTTCTCACACAAACACGTCCTCCTTCAAACCAGCAATGTTAATTCCAGCCTTTCTCACATATTGTATTTGACCTTCCTTTCTGCTGACAGCTGGAGAAAGCTCCCTGCTTTCATTAGGCTCATGAGGCCACGCCCACCAGATAATCTCTGATCTCAAGGTCAAATGGCTGGGGACTTTCATTCCATCAGTCCCTACACAGCAGCACCTAGGCTACTGTTTGACTGAACAGCCAGGGGTACAAGTCAGTGGGCCCAACTTTAGAATTCTGTCTGCCATGCCTCATCAAACTCATATTTTTCTCAATTTGATTCTTTCAAAGTCGAATAAAAGGATGAAAATTCGTGTCCTTGCCAAGGGATCACAGCAATGCAGCTCATGACAGCAATCACCCTGTGCTGAATATATGTGGGTTCTGGCTTCAGCCCCGACGCAGACTGTGGGCTCAGTTAGGAGAAATACACAAGAGTCCTGCCTTTCTTACACCCGCATGACCTGGTGGAAGTCACCTAACCTGGCTGAGCCTGGTTCCCCACCTCACCAGAGTTGGGCTGATCCCCAAGAGGACAACTTTGAAGCACCCAGCACACAGTCTGTTACCCGGGCAGTGCTCAGCTGCCATGAGCACCACACCCACAGTCGACAGACTGTCAGACCATCTGCACGACCTTTTTTTCTTTTTAAACACCACGTGTTTGTTAGGGGCACCACGTGCTGTACAGTCAGCTCTTCCTGCACCCACAGACTCTGGCTAGGCCATCCATGCCCATTGCTGGACGTGTGCTCAGATGACTAATCCAAGAGTCTTCCACACAGGCAGCTTCACCTCCACATGAAGAGAACTTGCACTGTGGTGCAGTTCCAGACCTCGGGGAGCTACCTGAGCAGGTAGGTTCCCAATAGCTGACTGCCTGTGGAGCAGTTCCTGATGTGGCCACGAGGTGTCAGGCCTTTCTCTGGCAGATCAGAGAAATCCCACAGATTTGGATATGGACACAGGGCATGGCCTGGTGGCTGGCCTGGCCTGAGCGGAGGTTCACAGTACCCAACATGGCATCCCCACTGGGACGACCTGTGCTCATCTGTCTTGGGAAACAGCAGCTACAACTCTTCATCAGGCTCTGAGCTGCAAGATGCCCATCTGATTCCTTCTGAGCCCCACAGCCAGTTAAGAAAGGTGAGATAGGTTTGTAAATTTTATTGCAGAAAGCCTGGGTCTGGTGGCTCACACTTGTAATCCCAGCACTTTGGGAAGCTGAAGAGGGTGGACTGCTTGAACTCAGGAGGAGTTTGAGACCAACCTGGGTAACATGGTGAAACCCCGTCTCTACTAAAAAAGACAAAAATTAGCCAAGCATGGTGACACGCGCCTGTAGGACCAGCTACTAGGGAGGCTGACACGTGAGAATCGCTTGAACCGGGATGCGGAGGTTGCCATGTGCTGAGATTCCGCCACGGCACTCCAGCCTGGGCAACAGAGTGAGACTTTGTCTCAAAATAAAATAAAACAAATTTTATTGCAGAAAACTACAAGCATATGCAAAAGACGAGAAAATCGTCATAACTCCTGGGGCATTCATCACTCAGCTTCCACCATTATTAACATTTGCCACTTGTGTTTCACCTGTCGTTGATTTTTCTTTTTGTAATGGAGAATTTACAAAGCAAATACCAGCGATAGGGGCAATTTACTACAAATACTTACATTTGCATCTCTAAAGGTTAGGACATTTTACCCACAAGGCCCTTACTGCTCCCTACCAAAAGTATTCCATAACTCCAGTTTTCATCTTATACCCAGTATACATTTCAATTCCAATTATCCCGACCTTTTTTTTTTTTTTTTTTTTTTTTTTAGGCAGAGTCTAATTCTGTTACCAGGCTGGAGTGCAAGGCACGATTTCGGCTCACCATAACCTCCACTTCCCGGGTTCAAGCGATTCTCCTGCCTCAGCCTCCCAAGTAGCTAGGACTATAGGCGCCCACCACCACGTCCAGCTAATTTTTGTATTTTTAGTAGGGTTTCACCACGTTGGCCAAGATGGTCTTGATTTTTTGGCCTCGTGATCCGCCTGCCTCAGCCTCCCAAAGTGCTGGGATTACAGGCGTGAGCCACCGCGCCCGGCCTCCCGTACCTCTCTCTCAAATGCCTCGTTTAAGCTGGTTTGTTCTATCATGATCCACATTAAGTTCCACACATTCAATTCAATGATATCTTTTAAACTTATTTATTCTCTAACCGTTCAGTTCCACTTTTTTTTCTCCAGGCTCCAATTAATTATATTATCATTCTGATTATACTACTATCGTAAATACTGGTATTAATTGAAAGGGTCATTTGTCCTGTACAACATCTCACACTTGGGGTTTAGCTGTGTGCGTCTTTCTGCAAGTGGCATATCATCTGGCAAACAGTAGGATTTAATTAGCATGAGTTGAATGAATGGTTTCAATGGGAAAAAAGCAAAAGAATAAAGGTTTGGTCCTTTACTCAAACAGTCCTACATTCACTAATGCAAGAAGCAGGCAACGCTCCACTCGAGAAGCCACCAGCTCGCGCCCTGGGTTCCTGGGGAGGGCATGGACTCCAGCCCTCAGATCCTGGCCGTCAGAACTGCACTGGAGGCCAACCTGTGCTGAAGCGGGAGCCAGGCCCTATCTCCCGCGGGGACCTCGCTTGCGAGCCGGCACGGTAAGAACACGCCGCCCCGGCTCTTCCAGCACCTCTGCTCTTGGGGGTACGCGCTACAGCAGCACGGACCTCAGTCAGGTTATGAAAACGCGTGCATTTATGAGCTTTAGTTGTGTCCCAATGTTTTCTATACGCGTCTGTTTTTGGTGTCTGGAGAAAACTGAAAATAACAGAAAGGTACAAAACAAACACACGTCCACATTCCCAGCATCCAGCATCATCAAAACCGCTAACATTTTGTCCCATTTGCTTCCTGGGCTTTGTTTCGTTTCACCAGAACTCACTGGTTGAGACGGAGACCCCAGTGCCTTCTCCCCTCCGCCTCGGGCGCCCGGAGAAGCAGCGTCGGGTGGGCGCGCCTTCCCAACGGCTGCCTCTGCCGTTATTTCTCAAGCACCTGCGCCGCCGTTTGGGTGGCACTAGCGCACTTAGCAAACACGAAATGTTCTGCGCCGCTCTAGAGCCGGGGTGTGAGGGTGAACAGGGCTCCCCACGCTCGTTCCCAGAGCAAAGGGAGACCAGGGGTGTCCGCGCAGGTGTGGGAGCGGCCCGGGAAGACGGAAGCTGGCACTGCGCTTCTACCCTAAACCGTGCTCCCAGGTCCCTCCCGGCCCACCACGGGCGCCAGCCCTCGACCCCGGCTCCGGCCCCGCCCCCTCACGCTGCCTCCTCATTGGCTCCTCCCGGCATCGTCCCGCCCACTGGAGGCTCCTTCCAATACTCCACCTTTCACCTTTTCGGGGGCGCTGGGAAGCCTCAGGCCCCGCCCACCGGAAGGAGGATGAAGCTGCTCTTCCGTGACCCACAATTATTGGTGACTCTCGCCTGTCCATAACAGAAAAAGCGATTACGGATTGGCTGAGGCAAAGTAGTAGGGCGGAGAAGAGGCTACAGCTGCCTATGCGCATGCCTGGTGCGTGCGCGGCGACGGCGGCAGACAGTGGCAGTCATGGCGGCTCAGTGCGTGAGGCTGGTGCCGCGCAGTCTTCCCGCTTTGGCGTTGTCTCTCAGGTAAGGGGCACTCGGCTTTCCCGGGCTGATGTGGGAGCGCGAACCCCCGCTCCGACTGGGGCCTTTCCCAGCCCCGGGAACTCCTTCCCAGCCTCGGCCCTGGAGCTGGGCGTCTGCGGGCTCGCGGTTCCCCGCTGCGGAATGCGGACCGCCCAGCCGGGGCCTGCTCTGCGGCCGGGCTGCCCGCTCGAGGCTTGGGAATGGCCGCCTGGACGGGAAGCGTGGAGCATGCGGGCGCCTTATTAGAAGGAGAGGAGCGCAGCGCGGGGGCGTCCAGCGTGGAGGGGACGGTGGCCCACGTGCGCTTGATGGCCGGGGACTGCGGGCGACGCCTCGCGCGCGTCCATGGCCCAGGCGCTTATGGACGCAGAGGCAGCCGCAACTTGTGCAGTTGAAGAAGCTTGTCCAAGGTCACGTAGCAAGGTCGAGCCCGGCCGGGTGTGCCCTGGGTAGGAGCTGTGATTACTCATTTCCGTGCGGCGGCTGGAAGCCGGGGCCACAGCGGTGCTCGGGAAGTTCGTGTCTCAAGGCGCGTGTTGCCCGTTCACGGGCATTTTCCACTCAGCCTTGAATTCCATCACTCCGCCTTCTCCAGCATCTGAGGTCAAAAGAGCAGTCGAGCCTGTGCCACTGCTGGGCGAAGAGTTTGTTTTAGACAAGCGCACGCTTCGGGCCTGAGGGCCATGAAAGAGTGCCTTTTTTTTTTTTTTAATCCTGCCGCTTCTGATTTTTAAAAGTTCTACCCCAGAAGTTAGTATGGCAAGTATTTAGTGTGTTGTTTACTGGAGGAACTGCCTAGAACCAAGTTATTGATAAGAGAAGCCACTGAGGGCCAAATTAAGTAAAAGCTGAGCAGTGAAATGTGCTTTTCCCTGAAGAGCAGGCAGGTGAGGTGAACATCACTTTCAGTGGAGGTGATTAAGGGGTGAGTGCTAACTTAATAAACTATGTCTTAAATCTTAGGAGCCGAGAGCAGCAACCCACGTGGAATACTTGAGTAAAAAGACTTTGGTCAAGTAGTGGTTTGGTATTGGAATTAATTACCAGGAAAGTGACCACCAAGTCAGCATCGTTTCTGTCTCTGGAATGGTAGTTTTGTGGAAAGATGCTCAACTAGGGAGAGGCAGGAGAACTGACTTGTAGTCACAGCTCTCAGAGTAACTAGGCTCTCTGAGACTCAGTCTCCCTCTGCAGAGCGAGACGGCGCTGAGTCTGGGTCCTGTGGCATTCCTGTCCACACCTTGTGTTTTCCGAAAGGGGTCTATGCAGAGCTGACCTGCAGAAAGGCTGGTGGCTGTCACACCCCCAGACAGAACAGCTGGAGAGGGCCTCCCTCTCAGTACACTCAGTTTTTATTTACATTCTTAGCTTTTTAAATCACAAGAGTAAAAATAAAAAGGTCATCACTTTCCACCCCCATGGCAAGATTGTAATGGATCCTCCCACTCCACTTCTTTCCACAAATCTAAAACATGAATAGGTACACAGGATTTCTAGTTTGTCTTTACAAAAATGGAATCCTCTTTTGTGTATTTCTCTAAGTTGCACTTAACAAAACACCCAAAGTGTGTCCATGAAATGCCAATGTAACTCTTTTTTTCTTGGAGATGAAGTGTTGCTCTGTTGCCCAGGCTGGAGTGCAGTGGCGAGAGCTCGGCTCACTGCATCCTCCGCCTCCTGGGTTCAAGGGTACTCCTTCCTCAGCCTGCCGGTAGCTGGGATTATAGGTGCCGACCACCACGCCCGGCTAATTTTTGTATTAGTAGAGACGGGGTTTCACTATGTTGACCAGGCTGGTCTTGATCTCCTGACCTCATGATTCACCCTCCTCAGCATCCCAGAGTGCTGGGATTAGAGGTGTGATCCACAGCGCCCAGCCTTAGCTCATTTTTAGGAGCTGCGTAATATTCCAGATTGTGCTAGCAAGTTTATTCAATCATTTCTTCACTGACAAACACTGTTCCAACTTGTCACTCCACAGTACCGCAGTAAACCACCTTGCCTGTGAATTCTGTGTGCTGACTGTCTTCCTGTTTTAATCTGGAAGAAAATCGATCATAGTTTATTCTCAGATTAGACTGTAGCATAATTTAAAAAGAGTTCCTCAGGCTGGGTGTAGTGGCTCATGCCTGTAATCCCAGCACTTTGGGAGGCTGAGGCAGGTAGATCATGGAGTCAGGAATTTGAGACTACCCTGGCCAGCATGGTGAAATCTCGTCTCTACCAAAAATACAAAATATGAGCCGGGCATGGTAGCACGTGCCTGTAGTCCCAGCTACTCAGGAGGCTGAGGCAGGAGAATTGCTTGACCCCGGCAGGCAGAGTTTGCAGTGAATGGAGATCGTTCCACTTCACTCTAGCCTAAGTGACAGAGTGAGACGCCATCTCAAAAAAAAGAAAGAGTCCTCTGGTCCTGGTGAAGAAATCTAGCTTTTAAGACTTTATCATTCATTAATGGCTTTGTGACCTCGGCTTATCACTTAACCTTTTCCTGGTGGGCATAGGATCGGCTAATGCCTTAAGTCACTTGCAATATCAGTTTTAGAGTTCTTGGTCTCTTTCATCTGTACATACCCCATGCTTTCCTGCCTTCATGCCTTTGACCAAGCAGTTTCCTCTTCCTGAAGCTGCCTCTATCCCGACCCAGTCCCACCTCGGATCCTTTTATGTAACTCTTAACTATGCTTCAGAGCTTTTCATGGTCTCCCCTTCCCCAAGCTAGGTATGTCCTTCTACTCTGAGCCTCCCAAAGCACTTAGTTCCTTTTTTTTTTTTAATCACTTTTTTTTTTTTTTTTGAGACTGAGTCTTGCTCTTTTTGCCCAGGCTGGAGTGCAATGGCATGATCTCGGCTCATCGCAACCTCTGCTTCCCGAGTTCAAGCGATTATTCTGCCTCAGCCTCCCAAGCAGCTGGGATTACAGGCATGTGCCACCACGCCTGGCTAATTTCGTATTTTCAGTAGAGATAGGGTTTCTCCATATTGGTCAGGCTGGTCTTGAGCTCCTGACCTCAGGTGATCCACCAGCCTCAGCCTCCCAAAGTGCTGGAATTATAGGTGTGAGCCACTGCACCCAGCCTTAATCATTTTTAAATCCCAAATTACAGTTCTTTGTGTTTAGATGTCTTTTTTTGCATGGTGGCAAGTACCCTGTGGGCAAGATCTCTGCTGGGTCTTTGTCATCAGGATCAGCAATGGGCCGCACCTCTAGTAGTAGCTGTTCCATAAATAGGTGGTGAGGTCTGGGCTGACTGTCTCAGAAGTCACCTTAGAATGGAGAGAGAAGCTTAGTCTGTTCTATACCAAGTACTGTAACTTGGCACATTGGCGTGTAAGTTTAGGCATGTGCTACAGAAGATCTTATAAATAAAAATCAGGTACAGTGGCTCATGCCTGTAATCCCAGCACTCTGGGAAGATCACTTCAGCCCAGGAGTTCAGGGTTACAGTGAGTTATGATTGTACCACTGTACGCTAGTTTGGGTGACTGTGAGACCCTGTCTCTAAAAATTTATAGAGAGAGGCCAAGCAAGGTGGCTCATGCCGGTAATCCTACCATTTTGGGGAGCCAAGGCGGGTGGATCACTTGAGGTCAGGAGTTCAAGACCAGCTTGGCCAACATAGTGAAAACCCATGTCTACTAAAAATTCAAAAACTAGCTGGGTGTGGTGACGAGCGCCTGTAGTCCCAGGTACTCAGGAGGCTGAGGTGGGAGGCTTTCTTGAACCCAGGAGACAGAGGTTGCACTGTACTTCAGTCTGGGTGACAGGCTAAGATTCTGTCTCAAAAAAATGTGTGTGTGTGTGTGTATGAGAGAGAGAGACCTTGTCTCTAAAATATATATATATATATATATGTTAATCTGTATATTTACTACTTATGAGCATAGCTTTTGTATGTCATGTACAGTGTGCCTTTATTGATCTAAGAGAAGTGTTTTCTCCCCCAGTAATATTAAATAGTTTGAAGTTATTTTAAGTTGCCAGGCGCGGTGGCTCACACCTATAATCCTAGCACTTTGGGAGGGCGAGGCGGGTAGATCTCGAGGTCAGGAGTTCAAGACCAGCCTGGCCAACACGGGGAAACCCCACCTCTACTAAAGATAAAAAGTTAGCCAGGTGTGGCGGCGCAGGTCTGTAATCCCAGCTACTCCAGAGGCTGAGGCAGGAGAATTGCTTGAACCCAGGAGGCGGAGGTTGCAAGTTATTTTAAATTTTTTAAATCATACATCTGACTAATAAGCACAGAAACAAAGTCTTCATTTCTTCCATGTGGACTTCTCTGTAGGCCCTTTCCGCGGTTGTTGTGCACAGCTACAAAACAGAAGAACAGTGGCCAGAACCTGGAAGAGGACGTGGGTCAGAGTGAACAGAAGGCAGATCCTCCTGCCACAGAGAAGACCCTCCTGGAACAGAAGGTCAAGTTGGAGGAGCAGCTGAAGGAGACTGTGGTGAGGACTTTCAGGCTCCTGTGGGGATGGGCTCAGCTGATGTTTCTCCCGTGGGCCACATAAAGGTTCCAGGTTTCACTGGTGACAGACCAAAGCCAGAGTTCAGCCGTTGTCCATAGCCTGCAGGGGGCGCAGGTGGCCAGTTACTGCCGAAGCAAGGACTAGAACCCAAATCCTGTGCAGCTCTGGTTCCGGCAAGAGAATAATCGTTACACGCTCCATTTGTCGTTGAATTAGAACTTAAAGTCGTCTTTACAAATGAGGACTACTCAGTAAGGTTGTTTAGGCTGGGACCTAGAAGAAGCAGCAGAAAATTCCAAGTACAAGAGTTGGAGGCAGGAGTGTGGTTTTATGCCATGCTCTCATAGGCAGGTAGGAGTTTTACGAATT